TATTTTTGCATTCAACCTCAATATATATATATATATATATATATATATATATATATATATATATATATATATATATACACAGCGTGTATCACAAATACTTTTACAAACTTTGTAGCCGTGTTCCTCACATCAAAGCAAGGACAAAAGTCCACATGAACATATGTCCGCAAATCCTTCGTTTTTGAGTTAATTTTAAAGTTTACGGTAGACGCTGTTAAATGAACAATCCAAGATACAATTCAAAAATACTTTGGCAAACATTGAGGGCGAGTTCCTGACACCAGTACAAGGTAAAATATCCATTTAAACATATGTGAAAAAGTCCATCGATGTACCACAAAACAGCAACTGTATAAAACGTCCTCCGCTTGCTCCTCCACACGCGTGCGTCCGTTGGATCATTGACTGGCGGACCCTTTCAAATGCTCCCATACGGTGTCGAATGATTTCACAGACCCCCATGCTACATTGATTTAGCATCTCTTCATTGTTAATGTCTGCTCCACAAGTCAATCGTTTTAGGTGGCCCCACAGATAAAAATACAAAGGATTGAAGTCAGGGGAACATGCAGGTGATGGAACCGGCCCTTCCCTATGGTTGTGAAGTTATTTCACAGTGGAGGCTTGTATTTGTATTAAGTCGGTCGTAAAATAGGTTCGACGTACAAAACGTTAGGAACTTGATATAATATGTAATGATGCAGAGTAATCTAGTTGTGATCGCTGATAGTTTAGTATTCGACTAACTGTCGTCTGACATCGACTAACCCACCGACTGACTGACTCACCCCCACGTTACTCTTACTACTCCTACTTATTATAGGTGGGAGAGTCTATTAACTATAGAATAGGTGTGTTCCACTCTAACACCTATTTATCAATATTTCATAGTAGAAGTCAGCCAGTGCATTGGGAATAATATGACTAAAATGTGCTGGATCTCCATTATGCATGAACCACATGAGTCTTCACATAAGCAGGGATACATCGTCTAACAGGTTAGGAAGTGTGTTCGAAATAAAGTCCCTGTATACAGCTCCTATAAGATATACTGGAAGAATATATGGACCTATCAGACAGTCACCTACAATTCCAGCCCAGATATTAATCGTAATCGCTGTTGTCTAGTCATAATGTATTGTACCATGGAGATCCCCCCACAAATGTTGGTTGTACAAATTTGTTATTCTATCTTTTCCAGATATTGCTTCACCCGTAAACAAGAATGAAGAGAGAAACAATATATCGACAGTTTGTGCAATAAACCATCATCAAAAGTTCTCTCGTGGTGAGTGATCAGAGGGTGAAAGACCCTGCCCACGTTTCAAATGATGCGGATACAGAAGATGCTTTTGATGTACCCTTCATGCGGTACGAGGTGATGTACGACATGATAGGGACACTTGACGTGTGCAGATACCTGGATCGTCCCCGACAGCCTGTAGAATACTTTCTTCATGGTCTTCCTCGATCCATAGTTTGTGGTGCCACGGATCCTGCCTCAGCGACGATAAACAGCAGCAAGCGTTGGACGTTTCGGCTGCTTTCGGTTTGGAAACGCAATCTGATACAGCCGTGCATCCATGACCATTGGCACGGCCGTATGTACAAATCACATCTGACTGCTCACGATATCAGTATCCTGTCCTCGTTGAACGGAACTTTCACTTATTTACTTATTATTCACTTTATTTACATTCTTTGTAATATAAATGCATACAAAATACCGTGGACACAATGTGAGGGATCATTGCATATATTAATTGTAACAGAGAATTGATCCCCCACTTTATGTCTACATTATAATATTTTGTTGTGTTTATCACATTCTGATTAGGTATGAATCCACCTCTTCACGGTGGAGTAATGGATAGCGGCTTGGATTGAGGAATCGGAGAGCCGAGTTCGAATTCCAGTCGAATCCATTGCATTCACTTACGTGCTAATACCCTTGGGAAAGGTGTGAATCCTCTTTCTTCTCCCTCCAGCTATGGGTAAATAGGACAGACTGGGTTCTATAGCCTTGGATGGCAACTGGTCTAGGAGAAGGAAAACTCTGAATTCAAACTTGCTCTTAGAGGAGGGTGAATGGAGTCTCTCTGAGCATTGGTTGGCAATCCATTTAGTGTTGGTGTCACGATAAAAACAACCTTCATAGCCCTAGCGAAGCATCAAGAATTCAGCTATTTGACAAGATTATGAACTACACCAATCAAAGTATTGGTGAGTTCAAGCTCGGCTGAGGCCGCAAGATGATGATGATGGGTTAATTAGTTCGACTTGGATCACTACATCATTATTCTTGGCAAAAAATTCTTACAAGCTAAAAATATTTTCTGGGTTGAAATAAATTGCAAAGGGTTGATAAACCGTAGAAAACGATTGAATGTATCAAACAACCAGCGTGCAGCACATTTGGAAAATGTCCGAAAACCGTGCCACGTCTTCGCCCAAGCCTTGTGAATTGAACTGTGTAGGCGGGTCTCTTTGTTGATGATTGGGGTAGCACGAAGTGACCGAACGCTCGAGTGTACTGGACTTGTTCAAAACTATATTTCTGAGAGGGCGTATTGTAGCTATTTAGGGGGTGTCTGAACTATTAAGGAGGTATCCACTGGGGACTTGCTCACAAGTACATCAGGAGTCTTACAGAATACATTCAATCTGGATTTATGCTGACACCTCATGCAGTACTATGAGATGTACGACATGCTAGGGCCACTTGACGTGTGATGATACCTGGATCGTCCCCGACAGCATGTAGAATGCATTCTTCGTGGTCAGGCGTACGAGCGGATTTCGGTCTTCCTCGATCCATAATTTGTGGTGCCACGAATCCTGCCTCAGCAATGCGACGATAAACAGCAGCCAAGGTTGGATGTTTCGGCTGCCTTCGGCTTGGAAACGCAATCAAATACAGCCGTGCATCCATGACCATTCGCACGGCCGTATGTACAAATCATATCTGACTGCTCACGATATCAATATCATGTCCTTGTTAAAAAAAAAGAAACAACACACGCTAAAGCTTGGAGACAGACTAGCCACAAATTTACACGAATAACAAATGTAACCTAGTCCATATAGCAAAACACAGTTCCGTCTACCGTTAACTCAAAAACGAAGAATTTACGACATATGTTTATATGTATTTTGTCCTTGTTTTGGCGTGAGGAAGCCGCCCCAGAGTTTTTAAAAGTATTTTTGATACACCGTGTATATATATATATATATATATATATATATATATATGTGTGTGTGTGTGTGTGCCTGCGTGCGGGTGTGTGTGTGTCTGTTCGCGCAGACCCCGTGATCGAGTGTTTAGGACGCTTTATAATCGGTACCTTCCCGCAATTTAAGAATGAAGTCATTACACTCTACTACAAATAGCCATATTGACTTATCTAATGTATTCCATATTAGTTAGACTATTTACGATGTTGTCCTGTCTAAAACCAACAAAAGAATGAGTTGAACTCAAATGGGAATAAAAGCCGCAGAAAACGGCCCCATTCGAAGAAAACCAATTCTTCCCACCAAGTTCTAAAAAACAGCAAATCCCTTGCTACAGACTATATTCTTCGCAACAGCTATTTAAATATCGAAAACATCTATGACATGCGCACTGTACACCGTCACATAAAGGAAACAAAATAAAGATGACGGCCTTTGCTTTCGGAAATGCAATTCTCAACTATAAACGACAGGGCGACAACAAACTGTGGGAAAAGAACTTAACTTTTGCCAATCCCTGGCACGATATTTGCAAAGAGGTGAGTGGAGGAAACAGAACAGAATCTCAGTGACTTCATTGAGCGACCCACGAATATGAATGTTATATAACAGCCCATTTCAGGAAATAAACATGAGAAGAACGTCTACACAAACGTCATCGAACCAATCTTCAGAAACACCAACATTCAGATTGACTATTCTGGCTTCGGTTTGAAATTCCTAAAACTATCACCTGAAGAAGTCCGAGACGTACAATGGCCGAAACGTTGTGTGTGTGACAATAAAGTCCGAACAATGTAAATAGTTCAAAACTGTTGACTACACTAGAAGATGCACTCTCTCCCAGAAAATGTCCGCTCAGCATAGTTGCAATATAAACAACAGGTGGGCCTTGTGGGTGTTGAACAAACACACATGTACCTTGAGGAGGCGTCTGCATCAGGGATTGGTTAGCAATCCTAAGGGACAGGTATATTCTGACAGAATGATAAGATACAGAACAAATAGGAAACGTTTATCAATCTAGCATGTTTCGCTTTAATTAATGCTTCGCCAGAGAATGAAATATGGAGAAATGAAAGATATGGAGAGAAAGCATTATATTACATCAGCAACGTTTATCTGTTCTTAAAGAGTCTAATGTATATCTATCTAAAACAAATGGTATAAACGTATTTTTGCATGTTGATTCCCAAATCAACATGCAAAAAACCAACAAACATAATTTCAGCTAAAAACATGCACACACATACTTACGAATAAATGTTTTTAAAAAAATTAAATTAAATTAACTACAAGGGGAGAGAAAAAAAGGGGCACTGGGAGAAGGGAAAAGCTATATATATATATATATATATATATATATATAGGTAAAAAAATGTTAGAGAGATTCTGGGCAAAAACTTATTGTATAGACTAAAATGAGGATATTTATTTATAATATATGAATTTTTACAGAGAACAATTAAAGCTTTGCTACTTATAATTGGATTTTCAATGTTTTTTTTTCTTGGAAAAATAATTTATGTATAAAAGCGTCAACACGTGGAGATAGAAATAGGGAAAAACTCTTTGAAAAGCTAAGCGAATCCAGTCGAAGTAAAAAAGTTAAAAAAAGAAAACAAATTATTTTTCTAAGAAAAAAAACCCCTGAAAATTCAATTGTAAGTAACAAAGTTTTAATTCTTCTCTGTAAAAATTCATATATTATAAATAAATATCACTATATTCAATATTAGGTGCCTTTTTTCCAATCGTCATTTTAGTCTTTCTCTCTCTCTCTCTCTCTCTCTCTCTCTCTCTCTATCTATCTATCTATCTATCTATCTCTCTCTCTCTCTCTCTATATATATATATATATATGTGTGTGTGTGTGTGTGTGTGTATGTGTGTGTGTTGAAAAATAAAAAATGTTAAAAATTAAAATTTCAGACACACTGAGTTGTACAGTGAAACCTGTCAAACTTACGCACCCTCAAAGTTACGTTCTGTCAAACTTACTTGAATTTTGAGGGCCTTGTTGGATTTACTAAAAAAAACCTGTCAGACTTACCATTTGTCAAACTTACGCAAAATTTTTTGGAAAAAAAAATCATGCCATTCTTCAAAAAAGCAACTTATGATCGAAAAAAGCCAACTATACTGACAATTGAACAAAAAGCAGAGATAGTGGACTATAAAAACAAACATCCGGGGGAAAAGGCGGCTAAAATCGCCCTGTTTTTCTCTAAAAAGTTCAAAGTTAAGATTGACGGAAGATCTGTCCAAAATTATATAAATTCTAAGAGTAAAATCAAAAATGAGAGTCATACATTGCCAAAAAATAAATCGAACAGGCCCGTAAAATATAAAATTATTGATGACGCTTTATCAAGTTATATTTCGCGAATAAACTCAAAAGGGGGTTTTATTGATGATTTTACAATAATCACACAATCAAAGAAGATTGCACAAGATAATGGAATAGAAGATTTTAAAGCCTCAAATGGTTGGCTCCAGAGCTTTAAAAAAAGATACAAACTGTCTCTCAAACCTCTACATGGAGAAACATACTGTGAGGAACCAAAAAAACCACGATGAATTTCTTAGCCAAATTGACGAAAAAATCCGCATCTATGGTGAGGAAAATTTCTTTAATATGGATGAAACCGGATTATTTTATAAATTGATTCCATCTAAATCAGCACGAAGAGGATATAAAAATTTTAAAGATAGGGTTTCCATAATGCTCTGTTCGAATATGACAGGATCCATCAAACATAAGCTTGTTAGTAGCAGTGAACTACAGGGGTGAATGACTGTATCTGAAGAAGGGGAATATATATATATATATATATATATATATATATATATATATATATGAAGAATCAAAAAATGTATCGTCACCCTCCAGGAAACGAAAAAACCTGCCTTTTGTAGTTTTATCAAATTGCCATAACACTGTTTAATGTTGTACGATATTTTATCGAGAGATGGCATCCATGGGGCAAGAAATTGAAAATGCATGTGCAGCAATCCGACTGGACACTTTGGCCAACGTAGCCTATGCAACTGTTCGCCGGACTAATAAATGTCTGGAAGCTAAAGGCCACCATGTTGAGCATCTCTTGTTATTCTAGTGTCGAAAGTTAACAACTTGTATTAACCTCATGATGTCTAAATAAATTTAGTATAATGATACCTATACAAGTATTTCATTTCCTGAAGTTTGGATCCATTTTTAGCGGACTCTGTATATATATATATATATATATATATATATATATATATATATATATATATATATATACAGGGTTGGACAAAATAATTGGAACTCTTGTTATATTCAAAGAAAACTTATTTAATATGGAGTTGGTCCTCCTTTAGCCTCACAGACAGCTTTAATACGTCTGGGAATGGAATCCTACAGCTTCCTGACTTCATCCAGAGGAATTTTCAGTCATTCTTCCATTAACACTTTCTCCAGTCACCATCAGGGAATAAAGTCTTGGCCATTGGATGATCATGATCTCCCAAAATGTTCAAGTAATCTTTGCTGTTGATTCTACCATGCAGGGCAACTATTGGACTGAGACATTTCCATGATATAGCGATCCAAACTATCACTGATTTACGTCAATGCTTCACTGTTGGAAGAAGGCAGTCAGGGTTGTAAGCTTCTTTGGGCTGCCTCCACACATAACCTCGCCCTGAAGTTGGGAAAAGAGAAAAACTGGACTTGTTTGAGAATATGACTTGCTTCCATTGGTCTGCAGACCAGGCATTGTGATCTCTGCACCACTTCAACCTCTTTTGAATGTTGCAAGTGGAGATAAGGTTTCCTCATGGCGGCTCTTCGATGATATGCAGCCTTATGCAGCTCACGACAAACAGTTATTAGAAACTGAAATATTCAGATGGTTATTCAACTCAGCAGTCACTTTGGTCGCATTTGTCCGATGATTTTTTTTGCCACATTGCGTTTCAATGCACGTCAGTCCCTGTCAGTAAGTTTGCAACTCCGGCCCAGATTGCTACGGTTGCTAGAGGTCTTGCCCTGTTTCTCGAATTGCATCAGTTTTCTTGATATGGTAACTCTTAAAAAACCAAACAGTTCAGCAACCTTAGTGATCGAGGCTCCTGCCATGCGAGCTCCAACAATTTGCTCTTTTTCAAACCTGAAGAGGTCACCCATTTAGCTTAAATTTTACTAAATTCTAAAAATAAATAAGACAAAGACAGTAAATTAGATAAATAAACGTATGTACAATAGATATAACCTGCAATTACGAAGTTTTAGTTAAAGTTCTTAATATAACAACTCTTTGAAATATAGGAGTGGATTTTGCAACTGTTCCAATTATTTTGTCCAACCCCTGTATTTATAAAGAGAGAGAGACAGACAGACGAACAGACAGACTGAGAGAGAGAGAGAGAGAGAGAGAGAGAGAGAGAGAGAGAGAGAGAGAATTATAGAATGCCTGAGACATTAAAAGGAACGGAACAGAAAGCAGAGGGAAAAATTAGGGATCTGACAAGAAAGGGATAAAAAAATCTTCTACAGATTTGTGCTTGAAGCGCTGGAGCTTCGTTATATAATGACGCCATTACTTTTGTTATAATGACGCCGAAGTCTATCAAAATCAGATGAACAACTGTAATATTATCAGGGTATAAATAATCAAGGAAACAGACAGGGAGAGTGAGGGGAGAAGAAAAGACAGAGCGAAATAGAGGGAGAAGAAAGAAAGCAAGAAAACTAAGCAAAACCGGAAGTTAAGATAGAGAGAGAAAAATGAAGATCGGTATAGAAAGGCGGGGGCATGTTGGCATAGATTTTAAGACGATAATAAGCAGAGGAAAAAAGAAAACAAGAGAGAGAAGGGAAGCGATTCTTTTTCTTTTTTTTTATATGCCATACACTTTCAAAATATGAGTGATCATAGCTTTCCACAGCTTCCTATAATTTCTTTCAACAGTTTTTGACTTTTAAACAGTGTTTCCGCTTTCCATTTAATCACACAAAGTCGTTAAATAGCTCGATCTTTCCCCCTGTTTCTCTTGTCTTCTCTATATCTTTTGAGTGTTAAATTCTCTAGGTCCTCTTACTTCATTATACAGGGTGTATCAAAAATACTTTTACAAAATTTGGGCCAGTTCCTTCGATCAAAACAAGGACAAAAGTCCATATGTCAGCAAATGTTTCATTTTTGAGTTATTAAGTTTAAAGTTTGCGGTAACGCTTTTAAATGTACAATCCCAAAAATACTTTTACAATCTTTGCCATAGATCGTGTCTCACCAACGCGACAAGCAGCAGAAAAGTTTGGATGACTCGGTTGCTTTTGGTATGGAAACGTAATCTCATATATCTGTGCAGCCTCGCGCCCGTTATAATTCGTGCGGTAGTATGTAAAAATCATATCTGCCTACTCACGATGTGAATATCTTGCCATTGTTAAACGAACACTTCTCAGTTAACTCACTACTAAACACATTAAACATTTACGACAGACTAGCCACAAATGTACACGAATGATAAATGAAAACTTGTCTAAATCGCAACACAGGCGCCATCTAGCGTAAACTTTCTTTAAACTTAATAAGTCAAAATAGAAGAATTTGCGGACATATGTTTATATGGACTTTTATCTTTGTTTTGGTGTGAGGAACCACACACACACGCATATATATATATATATATATATATATATATATATATATATATATATATATATATATATTTCTGCAAATAGCGTGAAATACAGGGTCACAAACTCACACCAATCCAACTAAATATATTAGCTCTATCACTGATATCGAGCGCTTTTCAATAAGTACTGCACATATATAACATATAAATAATGTATATATATATATATATATATATATATATATATATATATATATATATATATATATATATATATATATATATATATATATATATATATATATATATATATATATATATATATATATATATATATATATATATAGATAGATAGATAGATAGATAGATAGACCTAGTGAGCCAGACAAAACTACCTAGGTTTCACTCTAAACGGGTTTTGTCCTGACGGTTTAGGTGAAACCTAGGTAGGTTTGTCTGGCTCACTAGGTGTATCTAGGTCTGCTCTACGGTTGTATTGAGCTCTTTTGTTAGTTAGTTGTTTACTCGTATCGGGGATTTTCTTTGGGCTTCAGACCTGCATCTGTGCGATTTTTTTTGTCGGCAGAAGTTCATGTTTGTAGCTCTTTCTTTTTTAAAACTTTTTTTTTCCCTCGAGATTGATTTGATTAGCAAATCAAAAATTCGAGGGTTTTTCGAAACGAGTCTAGTTTATATATATATATATATATATATATATATATATATATATATATATCAGTAAACTTATGCTTTATGAAGAAGGCCGGAGCGTACAACGGTCGAAACGTTGTGATAAATATGGCAACAAAGATGAGGACAATAGTCCGAATAATGTAAATAGTCTACATAATATCGCATCTCAGAAATATGGACAGATATTGAAGACCAAGAACATTTTTATGACAAAATTAAATATGAAAATTCAAATTTTGTAATTAATTCAAGAGAATGACATTTGTATTATTTCCAGACATGTATCAATTTTCGGAAATCTGTTCATGTCTCTAACAGTCAGCTTAATTCCTTTTGGCAATTAAAACAGTGAATCAACATTAGGGTTCATCTTTAGGTTTATTAACCACAAAGAAAGATGTTTAGCTGATTGTTAAAGACATGCATGCATTTCCCAAAATGG